GGCCTTCCCGGCGCCTTGCGGGTCCGTGAGGAGTTATTTCGACCCATGACCGACCACGCTGGTCGGTGCAGGTTGCTCAAGAAAGGTTTGGAGTACGGAATGACGATGCATGTTTCTGCACCGTCTCTCCCCCCCCACTTCCACACACACTGCCCACTACACATCTGTCTTTTGCGTATAGAGGCGGTCACCCATCAAAGCATTATCCGGGCTCAACGCTGCTTAGCTCTCTGCTATCTGACGAGATCGAGCGCATTCCCCTGCGACTCGGTCGTACACGCGTGTCAATGCAAGGGGCCGCTGTTTCGGGCCAAGGCCCTTTTTCAGAAGAGGTTTGTAAGCGCTGTGCTTTATAGACATCCAGTAAGTATCGTTGAGGAATAGTGGCCTTACTTACCCATCTTGTGCCACAACAAACAGGTAGTTGCTTCTTCTTTTTGAGACACATTATGGTTTGTGTTAAATTGAACAGACAACATCTGGAAACCCGGCAGCATTCGTGGACTAAGCTTGACTCGGCTGATGAAACCCTTAACGTCGGGGGCCAGTTCAGAGTTTGCCGCTAAAAAGGCTACTGGGCATTACCGGTGTTGAAAGTTGATTGGCTGATGGTCAACAACAACAACAACAACAAAACCCCGCATGTGTTACTTTGTTGAATCGACTGATGCAAGTTGTGTGTATTTATTTAAATTGCACTTCGTCGTGACTTCACCCGCAGTCAGGGTTTAAACTTAAAGTCACGAGGAGCCTCATTCGGTACGGATTGTCTCTGTAAAAGAAGTGGCTCCTTTGTCCAAAACCATGAACTGGCATGTTTCATTTATATATTTAAAAGTATGCAGTGAAAGCACTTCAATAAATATATATAATATAGCTATTGATAAAAGTGGTCAAATATTCGACAATGCGATCCATTGACTTGTATGCTGTAGCTCTGAATTTACGTAACGTGGCCTTGAGTAATGAATGTATTTCGCACAGATGCGTTAATGATATTTTGGTGGTGGGTGTCGATGTGTGGGTGTGGGCAGCGGTAGTTTAGCGGTTGGCGCGCTTTGCTACAAACCCCCGGGTACCCGAGGTCGAATCCCGCTCACGGACAACACCCAGTGGCGATTATCTGAACCGGTCTTGGGCCTCCCATGGGTCGACTCAGCTTCAAATGAGTACCTGGTGCAGTGTGTAAACATGGCCACGAGGGAGACAAAGTCTGCCGCGCGTGGTACTTGCCACCTACCCCCTCGTGTGCCGTTTCAGCTATCATAGATACTCGCTAACAGCACTTGCCCCGAACGTATGTTAAGGCTACACGGGGGATCTTTGTCTTTGTGTGTACGTTCGTGAGTGGGTTGAGTGGATGAGTACGTTCGTGTGTGTGGGCGCCTGGTTGCTTGATTTAGTGTGTGGGCGTGTTGGTGGGATGAGTGTGCAAGGCGAGTGTGTGCGAGTGGATGGGTTGGCCGCATGACTCTGTGTGTGTGTACGTACAAGTATGTATGGTTGGGTGGGGAGCGGTAGTGTAGCGGTTAGCGCGCTGCGCTATGCACCCGGCGACCCGGGTTTGAGTCCCGCTCACGGCCAACACCGGTGACGATTATCTGAACCGGTCCTGGGCCTCCCCTAGGTCGACTCAGCCTCAAATTAGTACCTGGTGCGATGTGTCAACATCGCCACTGGGGAGGCAAAGGCAGTTGAGCGTGATGCTGGCCACCCACCCCCTCGTGTACCGTTCCGGCCTTCATAGGTGCTCGCTAACAGCACTTGCCCCTACCGTCTGTTAAGGCTATACGGGGGATCTTTGTCTTTGTACGAGTATGTATGGATGTCCGTGTGTTGGTGAGTTTGCGAGTCCGTGTGTAGGTGGGTGTGCTGATGAAATGGTCGTTTGGTTGAGTGTGCGAGTGTGTGGGTGTGTCGCCCGTGTGTTTTGTCTATATGCCCGTGGGTGGAGTCGGGAAATGCATTGAATTGACATCTCGTACGCTGACTCGACCATTGATTCTCTCAAACGATCGTATCATACACTCACCACCAATCAAGGCTCATTTGGCATCGCCCTGCGAAACAAAGGGTCACTTTAGAACTCTAGCAGAGTGATGCAACAGCCCATGTGTTAGAGAACGGATTGTGGAAGCAGATATCGTAGAACTACTTCCGAGACCTCTTATGAACACGAGGGGCGGTGCATAGTTATACATCCCCTGTTATACAACGTCCACCGCATGGCAGACGAACCGATGTGTTTATATTCTGAGAGCTGGACTGTATCTTTTTTTGCAAAGTTAAGAATCTAATTTATCACGAAGGTTTGTTCTTGTGCAGCAACGACTGACTGAGACAACCAACTCGTTTCACCGGAGAACCCGATTTCATCAAAAAGGGATTGATCACTCATTGCGTCCGAGTGATAACGAACCATGCAATATGCGTGGCTCAATTAACTTCATGCCAAGCTGCATAGGGGGGGGGGGGGGGGGGGGGTGGCACACTTATGGGCAAATCACCATACGACTTCACACAAGTTAAGCTGCGGTCCCACAACTTATTTCTGCCGGTTGAAGGGCCTCCGATAGAGCAGCGCTTTGGATAGCCCTTTAAGATTCTTTCGAGAGCATTTGGCCTATTCCTCCATGCATGGTGGGCAGACGTCTTGGAAGAGGTCAGAGTACCCAGACTTTTACCAATCACAAGCGACCTGTCCATCGACTAACTGCGGTGTTCCTACTCATGCTGCTTGGTGGACAGATGTGTGTGTGTGTGTGGGGCGGGAAGGTGTGTGTGTGTGTGGGGCGGGAAGGTGTGTGTGGGGGGGGGGGCGGGAAGGGGTGTGTGGGGGGGGGAAGAGCGGGGTGCGGAATTAAGAAAATTGCCCACCTATTCAACTGCCGCGCATGGAGATCAAACCGACGACCCCAGTGTGTGAGCGTGTGTTAACCATTACACCAGGAGAAGCACCCCCCCCCCCACCCCGCAGGTAGAAATCTACACCGCTTGCGAGCGCTCATCCAGCAGCAGGGTCCCGAGCCAGTTGATGAAAAGCACACCAGAGGTCGCGGAGTTCGCCAAAATAAAAATGTAATCCCGATGGAAAGGGGATATTGGCCAACGACACTTGAATCGGACCCCGATGTCTTTACTTTCTCGAGGTGGAACCCAATTACTGGAATATTGAATCTCTATCTGTCAAGGTCGACGGCTGTTTCAAGGTAACGGCTTTGAGCGGCCTTCATCCCCCGCAGTGGCTGACGCCGATGATGATGATGTTGTTTATTATGATTTGTCAAGGTCAGCCCGGGTATCTGTATTTCAAAACAATATCAGGAAAATACTCCCCTTTTCATGAGTGGCCTCCGTTGCACTTGGGGTATTTGGGCAATTCTAGATTTGAAGCTTTCGTGGCTGCAAGGATTCATACTGTTTGTTTTTTTCGGTAAAGTCACAAAGTCACATACGTGACTTTACCGAAAAAACAAAAGAGTATTTGGGCAATGTCTTTACAATGCGTTGCATTCAAAAGTTGGTTCGCGACGGCCATCTTTTGTTGACAGTGCCTTGCCACTTTGCCGCAGACAATGCACCTCTTTAATTTGCAACCCACTGCAATCATTTCACTTCAACGCCGATCGACTGCAACACGGAATCTAACCTTGGACTCGGTACTCACTGGTCTGAGGTGGTGTAACATCCATTTGTAGTTAAGGGTGTAAATAACTCATCGGTTGAATGCGATTAACATCCACACTTAAGGCTTACGATACACACACATGTTTGATATTTGAAAATAGTATGCAAATGCGTGATGATGTTTGCATTTGGGCAACGCCATTGTAGAAACGAGATGGAATGTACGTGATGCGCTACACGCGCCTGATGATCGCTATACGCGTAGTATCGAAGACGCGACTACAGCTGTCAGTCTTCATTTAAATCTGTGCCACCTGCGTCACGCGGTCCGCACGCGCAGACACACAAGACAAAGATCTTCCGTGTAGCCTCCGACAGACTGTTGGGGCAAGTGCCATTGGCGAGCACCTGTGAAGGCCGGCACAGCAGACACAGGGGGCGGGTGGCCAACACCACGCCCGACCGCTTTTGTCTCCCCAGTGCTGATCTTTTACGCATCGCACCAGGGTCAGAATCAGAGTAATTATTGAGGTTGGAGGAATCCGATGAGCTGTAAAGCTCGTTTTTTCCACAGATGTCCAGTAATCGGGCACCTACTTGTCGATGATCATGTACACACGTACATACACGCCACGAAACAGCGCCTACTCTCACGTGGGACGCGTTTAGCGATCATCAGGCGCGTGCAACACAGACGTGGATTGCTTAAAAAAGAACCCGCTAGAGACGAAGCGTGTCGGCCGTGTGGCGAGTACTGACGAAACCCGTTTAGGGCTCACGAACCAACGAAATCAAACGCACTATTAGCACAACTCAAGCCTGTGTCTGCACACACACAAACACACTTGTTCGAGCCGCAACACCTGCCTCTAAGTGGCTGACGAGTTTGTGAATGATTTTCAAGTGCGCTCTTGCACCGCGACGCGCAGCACCTGGACGCGCAGCTCACACGCACACAGCAAGACAAAGATCCCCCGCATAGCCTTAACATACTTTTGGGGCAAGTGCTGTTAGCGAGTAGCACCTATAAAGGCCGGCACGGCACACGACGAGGGTGGGGGGGGGGAGGGTGAGGGGGTTTGCCATCACAACGCCCGGCCGCCTTTGTCTTCTCGGTGCTGATGTGAGAAGTGGTAGTGTAGCGGTGCGTTGCTTGCGCCACGAACCCGAGTTCGATTTCCACTCACGGCCACCGACGCCAGTGACGATTCATCTCAAACCGGTGCTGGGCCTCCCCTAGGTCGCCTCAGCCTCAAAACGAGCACCTCGTGCGACGCGTATACACGCCCACATACGGCTCACGAACACAGACACGCGCGCACACGCGCGCACGTGCGCGCGCACGCGACAATGGGATCGAGGTGGAGGCTCACCTGCAGGCAGTCGGGCAGGTGCGGCTCGGCATCCCCCTCGGCAGCCTCCACCGCTCTCCTCTCTCCAGAAGCCGCCGCCGCAGCCGCCGCAGCCGCTGCAGCGAACGCTTGCCGCCCCCTCCTGAAACAATGCACGGCGGCGATGAGCAAGTGGTGGAGCACCAGCACCATGGCTGTCCGCGCTCCGTGGCCACCCCCCACGCGCTCCGTGCGCGCACGACGCCGCCCGCCAAGCGGAGGGGTACTGCGCGTCTCGTGCGCAGACTGGCCCCCGGCTCGCTACGTACGGATGGGGAGGGTGGTGGTGGTGGTGGGGGTTGGTGTGGTGTGGTGTGCTATCCACCACCGCCGCCTCTTCCTCCTGCCACTATTTTTATATTCCTGCTGACACCCCCCCCCAACACCACCACCGCCTTCAGTGAACGTCTCTACGATACCCCCTTACCAACCCTCCTCATCCCTCGAAGACACCCCGCTACCCCCTCGCTGTGCGCAGTGGGTAAGAGCGGCAGGCGCTCGCTGAGCTACGCCGAGGAGGTTGGACAGCGGAGAGGAGACGCGGGAGCAGCAGCAGCGCGCATGGTTCGGTGTGAGTGAGGTCGAGTTTCATTTTCGCGTCTCGGTCCCGGTTAAATACGAAATGTGCTGACGTCACTGCTGGGCCGGGCGAGTCAGGGCGAGACTCGTCGTAAAAACCACTCCTTCTCCTCCTCCCCCACCTTCGCATGTCTCTCCACCTCTGCACCCTACCTCCTCACTCCACCTTCACTCCATCTCTCCAAACCTCACTTCACTGCATCCATCAATACCACCCCCCTCCTCCAAACCCCTCACTATCTCCTCACCACCTCCTACCCCCATCCCTTCACTCAATCTTTTCAACCCCACCCAACCCGCCGCTCCTCCACTCCATTCCATATGTTCCCCACCATCCATCCCTTCGCTGCGTCTCTCCCCTCTGAAGCGCTCAGCTCGCGGCGGGCGCGTGAACCGCGCGCCGACAGACACACAGGCACGCGAGCGTGCAGACGGACAGACGCGCTAATCGCACGCGCAAAAGACGAAGGTCCCCCGTGTGGCCTTAACAGACTCTCGGGGGCAAGTGCTGTTAGCGAGTAGCACCTATTAAGGCCGGAACAGTACACGAAGGGGTGGGTGGCCAGCATCACGCCCGGCCGACTTTGTCTCCCGAGTTACGATGTTTATACACAGTACCAGGTACTCATTTGAGGCTGAATAAACCTAGCGGAGGCCCAGGACCGGTTCAGATAATCGTCACTGGTGTCTAGTTCGGGTCGCCGGGTTCGTAGCGCAGCACGCTAACCGTTGCACTCCCACTCCCCACACACGCTCAGACACAGACACACTCTCAGACACAGACACAACAACAACCGCCATTCGCCACTAAGTGGCGGTGACGTCACCACGACGCTTGTGCCAGGCCATGTGCACCTTGAGGCCACGTGAAGTGTTGAACGCCCGCTGGCAGGAGGTCACGGGGCAGACCCAGGTGCCACGGGTCGACTGACTGAGATGACTGGCTGATGCACCACCTGTGCCCCCTACTGTGCCAACCTGCTGTGCTTTAGCCACCCGGCGCTCCGCTCGTTGTGAGCGTCGCTCCTCCGCCCTCCGTTGTTGTTGGAGGGCGACTGCCTCCAACTGCCGAATAGCGTCGTTCACGAGCCTCCTCCATAGAGGCCGATCTTGACACCGCTGGTACCAGTCATCGGCAAGTCCACTCAGCTCCACGTCCTCCTGTACCACATCACTCCATCTCTTCTCTAGCCCGTGCCGCGCCCGTCTAGCCCCCTCGATCCGGCCGAACAAAAGCTGTTTAAGCATGCGGTGGCTGGGCATGCGGGCTACATGACCCAGCCAACGCAGCCTTGCCTGCCGGAGGAGCTCACCGATGGAACCGTGCCCAGATCTTTCAAGGATTTGTGAGCTCCTGACACAATCCAGCCTGGTTAAACCCAGAATGGATCGTAGGCAGGCCAGCCTAAATGTTTCTAACCGGCAAAGATGTTCCATTAGGGGGGTCCACGTTTCGCAAGCGTAGAGAAGGGAGGGAATGACCGTGGCCGAGAAGACCTGAAGCTTAGTGCGGAGCGACAGACCAGGTAGCTTCCACACAGCGTTACGCAACCGATGAAAATATATTGCCGCTCGACTGATTCGGAGTGAGACCTCTGCTGTTAAACTGGAGCCGGTCATAAGCATGCTGCCCATGTATGGGAAACTCTCCACTCTCTCCACAACTGCCCCATCACCGATTGGGAGTTGTGGGGGTGGAGTGTCCAATGGTACAAAATACCCAGGCAGGTGCTTCGTTTTGGTGGGGCTGATGGTAAGGCCCATCTCTTAGTGGCACGCTCCAGTCTCAGCAGAAGCGTCTCCAACTCCTGCTCTGAATAAGCAGCTATTACCAAATCATCGGCAAACATAACGTGGTTGAGCAATAGGGAGCCATCCCTTGACCGCACCCGGGCATCGATCAGCCTCCCATTATATCTGTACCATATGGAGATTCCCCCGGTACAGCTATTGAAGGCTTCACGAACTACGTGGTCAAAATAGATGTTAAATAATGTGTGAGCCAGAGGACATCCCTGTCGCACCCCAAGGTGTACAGGGAATGGCTCAGACTCCCGGCCACGTAGTTTTACCCGGGCCCGCTCACCATCATGAAGGTCCTTAATGATCGTGAGCAGAGGGTCAGGTACTCCAAAAGCACGAAGAACAACCCAGAGCCCAGGCCTACTGATGGTATCATAGGCCTTGACCAGGTCAATAAAGCAGAGATGTAGGTCTTGCTGGAATTCCCTACACCTCTGCTGTAGCAGGCGGACAGAAAATATGGCATCTGTGCAGGACCGCCCTTTCCTGAAACCGCATTGGGGCTCCGGAAGCCTCTCCTCAGCGTGCCTGGCAAGGCGATGTTGAATAATCCTCACCAGGACCTTTCCCGGCACACTGAGGAGTGAGATGCCCCTGTAGTTGTTACAGTCTGTGCGGTCCCCCTTCTTAAAGAGGGGGACCACCAGGGCATCCTTCCAATCCTGCGGAACCCGTCCAGTGGTCCAGACTGTTGTTATGATGTCATATAGGGCAGTCTGTGCACAAACGCCACCCTCCCTCAGCAATTCGCTTGGAAGATCATCTCTGCCCACTGCCTTTCCTGGTCTCAGACTCCAGATTGCCTTCAGTACTTCCTCAACAGATGGCACCTCAGCCAGCCACTCACAGGGGGTGACTTCTTCCAATATTTGAGGCACCGCAGCTTCAGCAGAGTCATCCTCACTTTGTGCCACGATGTTTTCCTGGCTGGGTGATTTTCCCTCCCCCAGAACCTCACAGAAATGCTCAGCACATCTGCAAACCTGTTCCTGGGGGTCGGAGATTGGATCACCGTTTTTTCCCCTAATGATGGTAATAGGTGTGGCGCTGCAGGCTACTTTTTTGATGGAGTTAAATAGAGATTTGTATTCGCGGGCCACTGAGGCAGACTCCATCTTCTCAGCAACCCGCGACCACCACCCATCCTTGCAGCGCCTCACGGCTCTCCGAACCTCCGAGCGAAGGCTGTGGTAAGCCTCCTCATTCTCTGACGTGGGATTCTGTAACCGATGACAGTGGGCCTGTCGCTTTTTCTCAACCATCCTGAACACCTCCTCTGTCAGCCAGGGTCTCTGGGGAGGTCTGGACCGCGTACCCAAAGCAGCCATTGCAGCTGCATGAGTCACAGTCCTAAACCTCGCCCATTTACCCTCGACATCAGGAGGAGTCGGGGACGATGCCAATCCCAGCCGCAAGCGATGATGACACACACTCTCAGACACAGACACACACTCTCAGATACAGACGTACTGCCAAACACATTCACACACAGACACGCTCTCAGATACACACTCTCAGACACAGACACACACTCTCAGATACAGACACACACACACAGACACACACAAAAATACACACACTCGCACACGCATTCACACAGAGAGGCGCGCCAATGCAAAGCCGCCTTTCGCGATTCACCCAGAAGTTTCCACGGGGGAGGGAGTGGTGAATGAGTGGATGCAGCTGTTGTTAGGGAATCTTAATGGCTGTAATAATAATTTTAAAATTATTAAATCAATAATGATCATCTTCATAAATAACATCATCATATTACAAAATAAACTATCATTGCTATCATAATCAATACATGAATGAGTAATAATCATTCAATGGATCAAACAACCAACAGCATCAACAATCTACGGGAAATTTTTGGTAAAATCTCTTTTTTATTGAGCATTAATAAATCAATAAATAATTTTCATCATCGAATGAATCAATCAGCCATCATTACCATCATCATCATCCAATGGGGATTTTTTTTTACAATATTCCATTGACATGCTCATATGTGAAATAAATAAATCCACGACTACCACAATTTATTAACAGCATAATCATCAAAATAATCATCAGCTTTTTGCACCACTACATGCATAACATAAATCACGACGATCAATGAAGCGATCAGGATTAAATCAATAAACAAATAATTATTTATCCACCGCAAGTCTCCGTGGACAACATCCAGAAACACGTTAGCACGCGCTCTTCTCTCGACATGCCTTTGCCTGCGTTTCTCGATTTGCTGATCCACGTGTGTGTGCGTGTTTGTGTCTGTGCGCGTTGTCTGCGTATGGTTATGAAATGGCGATGCGTGTCGAGAAATCACAGACAGGAGGGAAGCAGCAGCCATACGGTTATCCCACGCCAACAATTGCCCAAGCTCTGCAATCCTCTGTATAGTGAGATGCTATCGGGAAATGAATACGCGTTTTACAAGCGAAAGATGAACCTGCATGAACTGTAGAAAGCAACCACTAATTCCTGTAAAAACTAATGTTTTGCGTGCAGCGATCCAAACCCACGTGGTCCAAGTCGCATCGACACGTGGCAATCCACGCCTCGCTTCACGCCTCACTGCCCCACCCATCCCACCGTGCCTGTCGCCTCGGCTTTACTTGTCCCCCCCCCCCAGCAATAACGCCCGGCCGCTTTTGTCTTCCCGGTGCCGCTGTTTACCCAAAGCGTTACCGGGTACGCAAAACACAGGGGAGCCAC